CAGATAGAGTAATACGTGGCTGTACAACATAAGGAGTACGAGATTAAATTGGAACGAACATATTAATTAAAGATTACCGGAAAAAACATCCATCAAGCCGATAATAAAAGAATTTTAAAAGAAAGTAAAACAATTTTAAACAGTTGGATGCTGTATAAAAAAAAACCATCCTGTTGTAAAGAGTAAAAAATGTAAAAAAAATTTTGTGGAAACAGTGTCGAAAGAAGAAGAAAGTTTTTTAAAAGCTTCAAAGCAGTCTCGTTTGGTTTGCAATAATAATAATAATAATAATAATAATAATAATAATAATAATAATAACAGGATTTTAAAATAATAATGATAGGATTTTAAAAAATAAACCAATAAATGTTCATTGTATCGCCCCCCCTCTCAGCTCAAATTCTTCAGATTTATTAAGCTTATGAGTCTGTTCCTGTCGCCTCCCTTCTAAGACAGCAAATACAACAACAAAGAGGAAATGAACAGAAAATAACGCACTTCGACGTATAAATAAGTCTAAGATAACATATTTCTCCTCTGGTTATCTACAAATGTTGTGTAAAAATTATTTTTATTATTATAAAGATGATTAATATTATTCATCATTATTATTAGACCTGTAGAGCTTCTACGGGTTTTATTTTACGTGTTTACAGTGTCAAAAATAGGTTTCAATCAAAGACCTACTGGTCCTACTGGTTTACATTTAATTTTAATCAATGACGTCTAACAGCTATGTAGTAAGTGCGCTAAGCTATGACACCAGGATACGAATACACCATACTTTGATAGTTACACTGTGGATGAATATAATAATTACATAACGATCCGGTAGTATCGCTCAACATTTGCCTCATTGTGTATAAAGTTATAAAGTCAGGCTCCGGGTGAAAACAAAACTGATTTTTCTATAGACACAAAAAAACATATTTGACGAAAAACTCTGGAACGGTTAATGTGATTCAATTTTTGAATATTTATAAACTGGAGGAAAGGGTTAGTTACTCCATTTTCCTCCTATTCAAAAATCTTTATCTCATTAATCATAAAAAAAATTAATCATAAAAATTAATTTTTTTCTCCTGAGCCTAAATTTAAAAGCGACGATTTTTATGCACCGTTGAGGACGCACTTGACACATCACAATCAAATTGCATGGTAGTTGTGGAGAGTTATGTGTATTACGTAAATGAATTTGGATAGTAACCATTATTTTTAGCAGTAAATTCCTCAAATTTTGTATGCAGGCCTCCATTTATAAATCGGATGATTATTCGATGCATCTAAAATATCCGTCTGAAACTCTGTACACACTTTGGTTCCCGAGTTGTATCGAAATACAAAACAATCCAGGTTGTGATGACATCTGAAGGCACACACAATGGTAGATGGTACTTCTGAAGTTACAATAGGTTGTTCTTCGGAATAATCAGGTGGCGAAGTAACATGAAACAAGCCATCACATTTAGAAATCTCTGAAATTTAAAAGAAACATATTGAACTTCACTGAACACAAAATAAGTACACTGATTTTTTTTCTCCTACTTTAAGCGACCAAAGGTAAATATCAAAATGTAGGCCTATCCACAAACTTCGAACTATACTAATGTATCAAACATTACATTTTCAACGGTCCGGGAGTACCCAGCTAAGAGTTTGGCAATAATACTTTCAGTTTGGCGGGAAAATGTTTTCTGAGCCAACTAAAACGTATAATAACATTTTTGTAAAGTTGCTGACGTCATTTTCTGACTCAACATAATCACAAAATAACATGTTGTGTTTGCCGGGTTCGTTTTAGATGGTCGATTTCGTGGAATAAAAATAATTGTAACCGACAGATTTAGACCGGAGGCACGCCCAACCCTATATTTTTCACAATCTGACCTAGATACATTACAACTAAAATCTAATATAAACAATGATTTATTGTGACATTTAACTATTTGCTTTCTTCCAGTCAAGCAATTTTTGAACCACAATGATTCGTTTTCTTTGCACCCATAGTTTTCATTTTTTTTATAGTAGTAATGTGTGATTTATTGGGTAAGAACACTTTGCAATATCGATAAAGCACGTGGCTATCACTTCGCCATTAATTGACTCATAGCAAATCATCTATTACACGGTGAAGGATAGGCCTCCAACAGTTGAGTGGTACTTCTTAAAAGCATATTGGTCAATCATTTTAAATTGATATATGTAATAAATTGATTTTGGACTTGCTTTTCAACAATTTAACTATGTGGAATACAACTGAGATTGGTCTATTGAGGGCGTTGTTTGTTGCATTTACCTTGGCAGATTGGGTAGCCATTGAGACGTTTGGAACCATACCATTCATTAATGATTTATTATAATGGAACATATAAATTTAACGATATAGCATGATGCAAGTCTAGTAGCCTAGTATCGAAATTATGAACATCAAGGTGATTATTTAAAGAGAAACACGCCAGATTATTTTCATTTTCGCAAGTCCCGTAAACTTTAGAGTGTGTGAATACAATTTGGGTTTTTCCATTCTGTTTTGTATTCATTAATTTAGTTTGACATTTCTGTTCCTATATTACTAAATAATCGCTAAAATGTTCACAATCAAGATTCGGATGAGTATTGTTTGAATTTTTGTTTTTCTCTATATTCATTCATCCCACAAACGTTTGGGATCGTGTTTATATTTGTTTTGAACTGATTGGATTTTCGAATTTTACTCGTGCATTATTTTGTTTCTAGGTGAATGATATTTATTAAAAGGTGTCACTGGCTGCCATGTTTATCGGATAAATGTTTTACATGATCACGGTCATACATAAGTTTAAGGATGTACCGGTAGTGTGTGAACCATTTCATTATATTCTGCTTAAGTATAAACTTAATATACAATATAATTGTTGACATTGTTCAAATGTTTAATTCGATAAATAAAAAACACCAATTGAATACTGTAGGCCTACTGTAAATATCGAATGTGCTTTTTTTTTTTATCATAAGAAGTAGAAATGCTTATTATTATGGTCAGTCAGCCAATAGCTGGCTCTTCAAAGATGCCATCTGAGAACATCTAAATATTTAAAATTCAAAAAATCGAAAGATTTATGTCAAGATAAGATATAAAATCGGAGGGGCCCCTCATGCTTCTAAACTAACCAATCGATGGTACGCGTTTTAGTCGTCATGGCCTGTCAATATTTTCTGTCAAGGGGGCCCCGACTGTACACTTGAACCAGGGCCCCTCACAACCTAGTTACGCCACTGTATCCACCCGAATCACTTGCGATTTTTTTCGCAAGTATTTGTTCACGTACTGAGTATTGGGTACGATAACACGTCAGGTAGGGCAAAATATCACTCTTATCATATTTTCCTGACGCAAACTGACATTAAGATTATAAACTACGGTTATATATTAATATGAATATGAACATGTAAATATTTATGCAATCATTTCCTGTCTCTGTAAATTCCGCATGTACAGTTACAAATTGTCGGTGTTTTGAAATAATATTATAATGCCACAAAGATCATATCTGTAAAAACTGTGCAAACTATGT